ACAGCCAGTATTACCCTGCTCCTAGTAATTTATGACCACCCATATTTTAAGGAAGAGCTGGAAAGACAGGACAGATCCATGACCCTGGGGTCTCTTCAGCATTTCATGAAGGACACACTGAAGACTACATCTTAGGTGATAAGTTCTATTAAGTATGTGAGCACCCCAGGAATAGTGAGGGAGAAATGAGCTAATCCAGAACAGTTCCAGGTTACCTGAGCACAAAAGTTATAAAAGCGGGATACTGATCAAAAGAACTTTGTTTTTCTCCTCTTCTTTTCTGTATCTCCCTCCACCCCAGATAGCTCTGACTTCTCGGGGTCCACACATTTTCAAGGAGATCCTAACTTAAAAATAACTCACCATTCCACTAGAAATTTAACTTTCTTTCTTCTCTTCCTCATCTCCCACTTGTTCCTGGAGTCACTAGATTCCAGCTTTCACTTCTGCTAATTTACCAAACAATCCTGAACTAGATGTCAATGGCCCCTCATGACCACTGATCAGTCATCTTCCTGTGGGACTTCTCACATTACCCTGCCCACTTCTCTTCCTCCTTAATTGTTGGGAGACAGTGACTCCCTCTGGTTTTGCCTGGTCCTGTTTGCTGCTGTTTCCTGTGCTCTTTCCTACCTGTTTCCTTCTACATCCACCTCTCTTAAAATGGAATATTGCATCCAGTTCTTTCTGTATCTCTTTCCCTCCAAAATCCTCTTCCTTAGTGGTATTCATTGTCCTGGGTTGTTGGGGTGAGGGTGGGGAGTAGAAGTGGTTGTTTTGTTTTTTAATCTGTTTTTGTTATCTGCTATAAGCAAAGGTCTTCTAAAATGTACACATCTTTCCTAAAACATGTTAATATGAATCACTAAACTGTGCATCTGAGATTAAGTGAACATAAACAAAGCTTAAATCAGTGTATTCCAACTCAAACCTTCTACTCATCTTCTTCCTCTTCAAATAACTTCATGATTGCTGACTTTATGAAATCAGAATATTAAAGTCATATCTCACTCCTGTGTCCCCTAATTCTCAGCTATCAATAATTGACCAAAACATCACATCCTTTTGGTCCAACTTCTCTCCTCTCCTGTGCATCACTCACATGATCCTTGGATCAAAGCCCTAGTGCTGCTCAAATGGATTCTGAATTAGTGTCCTAATTTTTCCTTCCCTTCATTTTCACACTCTGTAAGAGCAAACTTCTCTAAGTCAGTTTTAATTTTATCATGTCCTGCTTCACATTCTTCAGTGAATCTCCATGACTGTTGCACAATGCAAAACTGGACACACTTCTCAAACTTCCCTGTATGAATATCCATTTAGACAATACCTTTGCAGCCCCCTTCTCAAGAGACTGGTCTATGTCTACTTCACCTCATCTGAGCTGCCATTAAGAGTTCTTTGACCACTAAAATACACAAAGGCAAATGTGTGTGCGCTTCATGTTGGGCTTGACTCATGCAGCCATCCTTCCTGAAAGTCTGAAGTTGCCATGGGAAGTTGGGTTGTCTGTTACTGATGTATGACTCCATGAGAATGAGGAAGTTCACCTAGGACCATGGGAATCTCCCAAGAGAGACCACTCTCAGCCAAGCAACCAAGAAAGAATTAAATAAATAGTTCAATTAAGATACTAAGTTTTAAGTTGGTTAGTGGTTGAGTAACAGTTACTAAATAAAATAACATTAACAGTGGATGCCTGTGTAATATGGTATGCACTGTTTTGTGATCTGAGTCCAGTTTTTTCTGCCCCTACAGTTTCAAGCTTAGTTCTCCATTGTTGGAGCCCATGTAGGTTTCCTAGCAGCTTTACCCAGCAGGTCTGCATAAAGTGGATGATTGGATCACAGGCCTAAATACCAGGTATCTGAGATGGTCTGCACTTGGCTGTGCTGTGGGAGGTCTTTTGCTCCACCCATTGGCATTCGTTTAAAAACCCTAGGGCAGCGACAGTCAGGGCCCAATTGATTAGGATGCAGGTCCACAAGAAGATATTCTGTATTGTCTATCTTTTTCTCTCCCCTCTATCCTTCTATCTAATATTTTCTGCTGCTTCTACTCAAGGGTACTCTGGGGAAATGTGAGGGTTTGATGGCCCCCACACTCCATGTAGCGCTATACATGACAGTAATGTGTACTTATATTTGCCCATATTTTCCATGCCCCCACATGTCTAGGACATTGCTGGCACACACAGGTCTAGGTGTCATCTGCTCCAAGCTTTTCTTAGCCCCCTGTGCTTACATCTTACTTCTCACCTGCAGAGCATTTCCCATGCAATTTTTAAGCACTGGTTCACTTGACTGTTCTCTCTACATTTTCTGAGACTGGGGACTGTAGCTATTTCTGAACACTCTACATGCTGCACAATATATAGTAAATAGATATTACTAATTATTGCATGAATGAATAAAACATCTACATAAAAATATAGTTTATGATTTTTAGTTTTTGAAAAATTTGAAGACCAATCTATAAAGAATTCCACTA